CCCAGTAGAGGTGTGCAAGAGGCAGCTGATCGATGATTCTCTCTCATTGATGTTTCTATAATAACTCTCTATCCCTCTCTCTTTCTCTCTGTAAAAAATCAATAAAACATTTTAAAAAATAAAATAAAATAAAAATAAAAATCAATGGAAAAATTGTAAGATTTAGAAAAAGAAATAAACTATCAATATTCATCAGCAATTACAAAGATGCTGTTTCTCTCTTTTACTTTTACGGAGGTTAGTATACACCCCCGTGAGGTCAGCAAGGGCTGAGGATTACATGATGGGACAGGGCATTTTGGCAATTCTTTGCTCTTTATGAATGTTAAATTTCTATTCCTATAATTAGAAAGAGTTCTGCCCTGCATGTTGACAGTTCTCAGTAGCACAATAAAAGGAAATATACTCAATAGTCCTGCTCCATGATAATGTAGGGAAATAGCACTGCTTCATGAGTAAGCCTGGACTTCGATCCCACACTTGGGGTTCAGTCTAGACTTTGCATCATCTGCCATAAAACTGGATATATATTATTTAGTATCTCTAAGCCTCCATTCTATCACGTGGAAAATGTGAACCATACACTGTAAGCTCATGGGAAATACTGAATACAATATCCAACTATGTGTGAAGTGCAGTATCTTGCTTGTAGCAAGTCTGAACAAACAGCAGCCGTAATTGTCTTCTTTCATGGTCTTCATGCTCCATACTGACTGTTAGGTTGAGCTCATGCAAGTATCTGCAAGGTGGATGGTGACAAAGATAGCTGGCTCCTTCCTAGACCCCTGGCCCGAGGCAGGAATTCGGCACCTCTCATGCCCTCCACCCTCCCCTCACTAAACAGCTGTATAAAAGGAGTACCTATGCCCCCTTTTGGCACAAACTTCCCTGGCCCACCCTCGAACCTTCACTCAGGAGAGCAAGATTAAAACCTCCCCCACCCCCTTTTTAATCTCCTGGACTCTGTGTCTTGCTTCTGCATCGCAAACCTTACACTGACTTACTGGGAATACCCTCTGTTTTGGATACCCTGGATTTTTAATTACTATGAACTCCTATTTCTAATGGCTGCTTCCAGCCCAACCTTTCCAATAGTTCTTCCTGATTTATAAATCACACTCAAGGGGGCTAAGATCTGTGTTATTACATGGAAGGTAAGAGATGGGGCAGTTACTTGTGCTGAGGATTGTGCTAGTTGCTTTGTTAATTTTTGAGATCACTGTATTCTTCACAGACTTATATGTAATAGGGGGGAAATTGGAAACAATCCAAATGTCTAATAATAGAGTACTAGAGTACTGGCATATAGTAAATCCTTTCAAAGTAATGTTTTCCATAAATATTTGTTTAGATGGGTACATGAGTATGATATAGTGTAAACGGAAAAAATCAAAGCCAACCACCCTCCCATGTCTATGTCTAGAATGTGTAGAAATAGCTCTTAACCATACACAATTCAAATGTCTGTCCATTAACAACATCATGGACAAATCATGGTATATTCACATAGGGAATATTATCTATATTAATAAAAGGGTAATATACTAATTAGACAGGATATCTTCTGGACGTCCTTCCTGAAAAAGCCGGGCCCAGGCAAAGGTCCTGGGAGCCGGCCCGGGCAAAGCCAGCCTGGTCCCAGGTGCCTGTGACTGGCCAGAGAGAGGGAAGCCTGGGTCCCAGGTGCCTGCGGCTGGCCAGAGGGAGGGAAGCCTGGGTCCCAGGTGCCTGAGGCTGGCCAGAGAGAGGGAAGCCTGGGTCCCAGGTGCCTGTGGCTGGCCAGAGGGAGGGAAGCCTGGGTCCCAGGTGCCTGAGGCTGGCCAGAGGGAGGGAAGCCTGGGTCCCAGGTGCCTGAGGCTGGCCAGAGGAGGGAAGCCCAAATCCCGGGAGCAGGAGCCACAGAGTGGTTAGGGGCAATCAGGCCAGCAGGGGAGCAGTTAGGGGCAATCAGGCAAGCAGGCAGAGGGCTTAGGAACCAGCAGTCCTGGATTGTGAGAGGGCTGTCTGATTGGCAGTTTAAGCTCGATCCCTGCAGGATCGGGTCTAAACCAACAACTGGACATCCCCCAGGGGGTCCTGGATTGAAGAGGGTGCAGGACAGGCTGAGGAAACTACCCTCTTGCACAAATTTAATGAACCGGGTCTCTAGTCTTTATATATAAAAGGCTAATATGCAAAATGTCTACATGGGAGTTCAACCAGGAGACTGGGAGTACCATTGTTCACTATGACGTGCACTGACCACCAGGAGGCAGCTCAGAATGAAGGCAGGCCCCAGCCAGCAGCCAGAAGGCCCCAACTGGTCCTGCTCACCAGCCAGGCCTAGGGACCCTACCCATGCATGAATACCTGGCCTCTAGGACAGTAATAAAATAAAAAATAAAAAATAAAAACCTATAACTATGCAATAATATGATGAATCTTCTAAGGATAATGTGAAATTTTAAAAAGCAAAGCACAGAAGAATATATGGGGCATGATTCTATGTATAATAATAAAGGTCAAACTGGGGAAATTTTAATTGTATTGCTTAAGGTGGTAAACTATAAGGAAAAATGAGGAATTGCCATGGCTGGCAGCTGGCATTGCTCAGTGGTTGGAGTGAGCCTGCATATCAAAGAGTCACGGGCAGATTCCTGGTCAAGGACACATACCTGGACAGGAGTTTGAATCCCCTGTCCCCCAACCCCTGTGACAACTGTTAGGCCAAGGCAGGGGGGGAGTCCAGAGCCCATGCAAGCATCTGCAAGGTAGATGGTGACAAAGATAGCTGGGCCTTCCTAGACCCCTGGCTGGAGGCAGGAATTTGGCACCTCTCATGCCCTCCACTCACCCCTCACTAAACAGCTGTATAAAAGAAGTACCTATGCCCCTTTTTGGCTAGAACTTCCCTGGCCCACCCTCGGACCAGTGAGTTTCGCCCTGGAGTACAAGATCCCTCCTTTTAATTGCTTGGACTCTGTGTCTTGTTTCCTGCGGGGCAAACCTCTCAACAACCAGTTCAAGTGTCTCTCTCTCTTCCTCCCTCCCTTCCACTCTCTCTAAAATCAATGGAAAAAAATATCCTCGGATGAATTTTAACAAAAGCAAAAAAAGTTTTTTTAAAAAGTGGTAGTGCCTTTATATTCAAGTATACCTTTACATTCTACTTTCATAATGTAAATGTTTTAAAATAAAGACCAAGGGAAAACAAGTACAAGCTTACATTTTCCAGTGTGATCTTAAGTACACATATTTCTGCATTCGTAGAGTGGGGGAGAGGGTGTGTGTGGGAAGTGGATCAATAATTGCTTTCTCTGGTTAGCAAAATATAAAGGAATTTATATTGTCTTCCTTATACATTTTGTATTTTTCAATTTTTTTAATAATCAGCAAGTATTACTTTGAAAATAAGAATATGAGCAAAACCACCAACTGCCCAGTTCTGGCTCTTCAAGTTATATTCCTGCACAGAGTACAAGGAAGAGACATTTCTCTCCTCCCCGCCAGAGAGAAATAGGGAGGGAGGAAGGGCCACACAAATGAAATCAAAACAAGGAACCACCACAAGGCTGGTCTTCTGTGCCAGCAATAAGGCCTTCGGGAGCTCAGCTGATGAAAATCAGTAAAGACACTTCCTAGATTACCCCAGAACTCAGACAACTCTGCCTGCCCTCTGTTTCAAGGCCTGGAAAACGAGCTAGCAACTGTGTCAAAAGATTCAGTAATAACTATCATTTTTTAATTCATTACTGTCATAATATCACATTGGAACATTATATGCATTAATCCAATCATAATTGCTCACAAAAATTCTGTAAGGTGAATATATATTTCACACTGATATTTTACACCTTATTTTACTGATATCCCAGGGCTTGAAAGAGGTGGAATGACTTGCCCAGATGTCAGAATCCAGTCAGTGACTTTTATACACTCGCCACTGATAGATCCTCCCTTCCCTCAGTTGATGGACAGACATAAACCCCACCTGCGGCCAGATATATCTGAGCACTGGACCACCAATCAGCACCTGCCAAATACCCTAAGCCCCCCTGATTCCGTGCCTAGGTCCCTAACCACCAATCAGCATGCGCTGAATACCCTAAGCCCCGTCCCCTATCCGCCCCTTAAAAGTAGACCCCGGGGCGCCATCCGGCCTCTTTCTCTCTGGAAGTAGCTGGCGGAGGTAACTCCCTCTCTCCAATAAAAGCCTGTCTCCTGACAACCCAGTCTCAGTTACTTCTTTAATTAATCTATCAGCCACAATTTACATGTGTTTGTGCACATGTTGTAGAGTTTACTCATCTATTGTTTTACACTCACAACAATCGTGTAAAATAGCTCCAGTATCTGTGCGATTTGCCCAAAGACATGCAGCTAGTAAGAAGCTATATTCTTTTATGTTAATTTATTTCTTTTTTCTTCTTGAAGGACAAAGTTTTTTCCCTACACCCCAACTAAATGCCAATGCTTCTACGTCCTCTCATACATGCAGATTTTACATTTAGGTAACACACCTAGTTATTAACTACTGCAAGAAGGACAGAGATGTTGAATATGATACAGAAGGAAAGAAAAAAAGGGAGGGAGGGAGGGAGGGAAAAAAGAAAAGAAAAGAAAAGAAAAGAAAAGAAAAGAAAAGAAAAGAAAAGAAAAGAAAAGAGAAAAGAAAAAGTTAACCCCCTTACTAACCTGGAGTGAGCAGACAGATGCAATCCAGACATAGCCTTCTCCCCACCCCCACCCTTTGTTTTTGCAAGAGATAAGGTTAAGATAGAATACAGGTTTCATATTCTGTGGCATTCTGGTTGTAACTATGGGGTGATTTGCTTATCAACCTCGGCTCCCAGTTTTCACTCTGCCCTAAGGGCGTTAACTTTTCAGCTGCTTAAAGGAGTGAACATTCCTGGACGGTCTCCAGCCCACCTCAGTCTCCCACCCCTCGAACCTCTGAAGGCTCCCTGGGAGTGAAGGCTTTCTCACTTTGGCAGAAGGGAGAGGGCAGTAGAATTTCCTCTGAGAAGGGATGGGTATGCAAAATGCAAAGAGGAGGAGGAGGAAGCAGAGAGGCGAGTGAGTCAGAGAAGAGAGGGAGTCAGAGGAGAAAAGCTTCGGGGCTTGGCTAACAGTGAGCCTCCAGAGCAGTGGGGAAGCTTAAGCCACTAACAAGGTAAGAACAGTTTTTTGTATACACCTCCAGAGCAGGGCCATTATCCCAGGGCCACAGGAGGGGGTATCAGTCACCGGGAAGGCTAAACTGGGAGGTCAGTGATAACATAAAGGGACGGCGGCTGACAAAGACTCACCTGGAGAATCACCCAGAGAAAACGCACACTCCTGCCAATAGCTCCTCCATCCACATGGCTCCGTCCCTAAGAGGGCCTGAAGGAGCTTAGAATGCCAACAGGGCCGTTTTGATGCGTGTTTTGTAGCCAGTCCCCTGAAGCATCTAACTTGTTCAGATCCTGCTTCGGAACTCAGGTCTCTGTACTGCCTGTGGCTTCTCTGGGCAGGTGCTGGGGACTGGCAGACCAGAGGTGCAGGGCGCTGCAGGTTTTCTCTAAGGTGAAGGGTAGTGTGATCATTGAACATTCTGGGACCTGGAACCCAAAAGTCTTGAGTTCTGGTTCTAGCAAGGCTATTTTCACTACTAAACCAATTCATCAGAGTTCAGTTTGCTTATTCTAAAAAAAATGGGGGTGTGGACCACCACTGTCCTCTACAGTCGGACCTCAGAGACATTTTGGGTTCTGTTCCAGATCATAGCAATCAAGCGGGCCTCACAATGGAGCAAGCTGTATAATCTTTTTACTGGTGGAGGTCTTGCCTACAATTTTTTTAAAATGCAGTATCTGTCCCTGGCTGGTGTTACCAAGTGGTTACGCACTGAACAACTGCAGGTTTGATTCCAGGTCAAGAGCACATCTCTAGGTTGCGGGTTGGATCCCTGCTCAGACCCCAGGATCGAGGCATGTATGGAGGGGAGAGGGTAAAGTGGGAGGGAAGGATCACAAACAATTCACATGTTTAACATAGACATTTCTTTCTCTTTCTCTCTTCCTCTCTCCCCCTCCCCCCCTCCTTTCCACTATCTCTAAAAATTGATGGGAAAAAATATTCTTGGGTGAGGATTAACAACAATAAAAAAACAATCACAGTATTTGTGACATGCAATAAAGTGCAATAAAATGAGGTATGTTTGTATATCTCATTGGATTATTGTTATATCTGTGGCTAAAAGAGCTTTCAAAGTTGTGGAGCGCCAACACACATGGAAAATAAGACTAAGTTATGAGATCAGCACATCAGCCAAGTTAGATGAGATCTCTATCTTATACAGCCTTGGACAAGTCTGGAACTTCTAACTGGAGTTGAAATACTTTTATATGTGCAAAATAAAAATATCTGGCCTCCGTCTTTCTTACTAACCAGGTCAATGAGGGCACTTGAAGCAGTAAAAATGCTTTACAAATGTTCGTTCATTCGTTCATTCATTCAACAGATGTTTCTTGATCACCTTCTAGGTGCCAGGCACTGTTTTTGGTACTAGAGACATAGCAATGGCAAGGACCCAGGCCCCGATTTTCTGGTCCTTTCCATCTGGTTACAGTCTCTTACCATATGGACACCTAGTGTCCGGGTGCTTATCTCCACAGGATTCCCAAGCCTACAGCTGTGCACATGGGCATTGGTTTCCTCAACCCAGCTCTGCCTTATTTGTTCTCTCTCTTCTGTATTGTGCAAATACCTTCTGCCATCTACTCCTGGTTGGAGAGGCATAATCTCATTGGGGAATCTAAGTTAGGAATGTGCCAGGGGCTGGAATACAGGGCTCAAAAATCGTTATCTGTTTTTCTCTCAGATTTATTTTGTTTCTAAAAGGCTACCTGGTACCGATTTGGGGGACATCTATAATTCAGCCCTCTGTAATGAGGCTGCTCGATGGGGTCGCCTATCTGGTGCCTCACGGTCCCTGTGCCTGACATAGGCGCCACCCCCGTGTCAAGATCCTAAAGTTCTCATGACTCTTCAATGACCGAGTGTCTTTTGTGTGCCAACATGATACCACTTGCCCATCATTGGGGCAACATGTTTTTAAATTATTTTTGGGGGGTTGGGGGCAGTGATGATAGGATATGCTGAGGGTTTTTTCTTCTTTTACTAACAGAGCTGGTTAAAGCAAAGGAAATGTTCTTAGTTCTCTGTTGCTCTGCAAAGGGGATTTTATATTTTATTCATAAATGTTTCTTAACATAATGTTCATTTCCCCCTAGTTTTAATTAATACATACTCAGTGTAGTAACTATGTTTTTGGAGTGAGGTTAACTGTGCCATATTGGACTGAACCTATGCCTCTGATGTATATATTAATATCTTGCTCCATTCAACTAAGACAATAGTGGTTCTGTGCTCTATACTCAATGGAATCACCTAAATTTTAGTAACTGTTACTGAAGAGACATTCGTGTGCATTTTAGAAAAGGACAAGTCTCTGTCTTTGATGCATCTCGTTCAGTTATCTGCTTTGTGGTGACTGCTTCTTCCCACAGTCAACTATTTATTTACTCAACAAGTATTTATTGAGCCCTAATCACTTGTAAGTTTAAATAACATGAGACATAAACTTTACCCTTAAGTTACAACCACCAGGGGGGAGATATTCATCTACAGCTGTTTACTAGAGAGTGAGAGGTGGATGCTAATGGAAAGTTTGGCGAACAACTAAATCTTAGAGGAAGGGAGATAACTTTCAGGGAGAAAGCAGCTGTGTGGGCACTCTTGTGGGAGGCGTCCTCTTGCAAATGTCTCAGGGCTTTTACATAACAAGGCAAGTTGGGAAGAACTGAAAGTAAGGTCTGGAGCCTATGGCACCAAAAGGAGGGGAGTGACAGGTAACCAAAGATCAGATCATAAAGGACTCTGGGTACAAGACAGAGATTTTGACTTAATCCTGTACGGGTTGGAAAGTGTGGGGGAGGAAAAATAATTTTTCCTTCTACACTTTTACATTTTGGCTGAATAATCAAATTAACATGAGAGAGATTAACAGGAGAAAATGACCACATTTTCATAGGGGGTTCCATGGCTTATATGCCATCTTGAGCTGAGAAAGGAGCTGGAGGGGGTATGGTTAGGACTTCAAAAGGCAGGAAGGTAATTCACATAAAGATGAAAAAGCAAACAAGTACTGGCAAAGATGGAAAAGCAAACAAGTGCTGGCGAGGATGTGCAGAAAAGGGAGCACTAGTACACTGATGGTGGGAATGTAGACTGCTGTAGCCACTGTGAAAAACAGTATGGAAGTTTCCTCAAAAAATAAAAAATGGAAATTTTGACCCAGTGATCCCACTTCTGGGAATATATCCCCAAAAATCAGAAACACAAATCAGAAAGAATATATGCACCACTATGTTCATAGCAGCGTTATTTACAATAGCTAAGATTTAAAAATAACCCAAGTGCCCATCAGTAGATGAATGGGTAAAAAAGCTGTGGAATATTTACAGTATGGAATGCAATGCAGCTGTAAAAGAGAGGGCTCTCTTACCCTTAGGAACAGCATGGAGGAATCTGAAAAAGTATTATGCTAAATGAAATAAGCCCATCTGAGAAAGACAAATATCACATGATCTCACTTATTTGTGGAATCTAATGAGCAGAATGAACTGAACAACAAAATAAGACCCGAAGCCTGGAGGTAAGGAACAGACTGACATACCTCTATGTGGAGTTGGGGGACCAGAAGAGATAAACCAAAGAACTTATATACTTATATGCATAGCCAACAGACACAAGCAATAGGTTAGTGAAGACCTGGGAGGTGGGAGGGTGAGGGTGGATAAGGGCTGGGAGGAAAGTGAGAAAGGGGGGTGGGAAATACCTGTAATACTATCAACAAAAAAATATTTTTTTAAAAAATTTAAAAAGAAATGAAATCCTGACAGCATGTATGAACCTTGAGAACATTATGCTGAGCAAAAAAGTCAGTTGAAAAAAGACAAACACACCTTTGAAATGGAATTGAATTGCACAGGTCCAATTATACGCATGGGTGTGTGTGTGTCTTTTAAATAAATACATATAGCTCTATTAAAAAGAATAAGATGGAAAAGCAAACATTTAGTACGTAAGTGTTTGCTGGGATCTTAACAATGGGACACAGAGAGGACTTTGATCATACTTAGATGTTTGTGGGGTTTTTTTAAAAATATATTTTATTGATTTTTTACAGAGAGGAAGGGAGAGGGACAGAGAGGTAGAAACGTCAATGAGAGAGAAACATCGACCAGCTGCCTCCTGCGCACCCCTTTCTGGGGATGTGCCCACAAACAATGTACATGCCCTTGACCTGAATTGAACCTGGGACCCTTCAGTCCTCAGACTGACGCTCTATCCAGTGAGCCAAACCGGTTTTGGCATGATCATACTTAGTTTATAGCAAACTATAGCTATCTGTCAATAAGAGGCTCCTGGCCTGGAGCAGATCTTCTAGCTAAATGATTTTATTCAATTAGGGAAAAGGCTAAAAGTTCTTTCTGAGCCTCTGTTTCTTTAAAAAAATAACTTAAAATAATCAAGATTCCAAAAGGCATAATTAATTTGGGGTGGTAAACTCTTGTTTCTGCCCAAAAGTTGTTGAGAGATTTTAAGAAGGGGAATGCCTGATTTGCACTTTAAAGGGTAGTTTTGGGCAGCAGTGGCTGATGGAGAGAGCTGAGGAACAGAAGAGAGGGGCTGCTTACTGGCAAAGCCAGGCTAGAGATGAGCAGACTTAGGATTCTGACAATAGGGATTCAAGCATGCACCTGAACAGCCAGAAAAGAACACTTGGGAAGGTGGAGCAGGGACTCTGAGATGGGGCAGTCACAGACTTCCTAAAAATGCTTATCAACGCTAAGGACTACACAGGAGAAAGGTAGTGGCTAGGTTAGAAGAGATTGCTGGTTCCCTTTTTTTCAGGAGCCACATCACCTCGCTTCTCCCAGGGTCTCAAAAATGTCCCTCTCGCCTGGCCGGGTGGCTCAGAGGGTTGGAGCGTCATCAGGACACCAAAGGCTGAGGGTTCAATTCCTGGTCAGAGCACATACCCAGGTTGCGAGTTGATCCTGATCAGGGTGTGTAAAGGAGGCAACTGACCAATGTTTCTCTCTGATATCGATGTTTCTCTCTGTCCCCTGCCTCTCTCTCAAATCTATAAAAAAACAAAAAACAAAAAAACATATCCCCCAGTTAAAAAAAAAAAAAAAAAAAGAATATCCATTTCTATCACTTATTACAGTATCTGCAGAGAAGGGCTTTAAGCACCTTAAAGCATTCCCTAGCAGTTTTGGTCAGCCTTCATATTGCCTAGATCCAGGATGTAGCTGGATCCCAGAGATAAGAGATGGAACTCACTTGACAAAAGCATACTTTCTTTCTGGCCAGGGAAAGTACCCATGGAAAGAAAAAACAGAGAAAGAAGTCAAAGGGTTTCCATGGGAATTCCTGAGAAGCAAAATGCCTGACTTCTGAGGACACCTGGGGACAGAGTCAGAAGGCCCTGCTCCAGCTCCGGAAGAGAAGGGGCCAGGGCCAGCAAGGAGGGCTCAGAGCAATGGAGCTCACTCAGGACACCGAGCTGGCTCAAAGCTGGGATTATGGGGAGGAAAGGGCTAACCTTGAAAAGTTTACTTGTCTAATCCCAAGGAAAAAAGGTTAGCCTTTTCCTGATAGCCCTGCTTATAAAATGCTATCCCAGTTTCCTTGTAATTATGCACAGGTCAAGTTTTTCTCTTCTTCATTTTCCTCTTTTGCTCCATTGTTTCTTATCTTTGTTCCAAACTTTTCCTCATGTTCGCATTGCCTTTGGGAGAACAACTCTTGCTAAAGTTCCTTTCCAGTCTTTGAGGGGTAAGAGCATTATCAATAATGGCCTAGTTTCTAATCATTTCCACTTGGGCTCAAGTTGAAAAGAACACCTTCGCTCTTCCCGTTCTAACCATAAGGGCAAAGGCAGGGATTACCACTCACCGCGTTTCCCTCACACATAGCAAAGCACTTTTTGGCCACCAAGGAGAGATGATCCTCACTGGCTCCTTCTGGCACACGTGGAGGAAACGCATTGTTGTAATGAATGATAGAGGGGTTTCTGTGCCACCGACACACAAGGTTTGGCTTGGGTCATTGCACACTTCCCAGAAGGTTCAGGGGACTTCCATGGGAAGCCCGTGAACTGGCCAAGAACGCTCTACTATAAACTCCAAATGTCACCTCTGTGGCTGCCCAATTCTTCCTCGAAACTCCACTCCCTAGAATCTCTGGAACTCTGAACCTATAGCATGGCTTATGACCAGTATGAAGGCTTTATGAGCAATAGATATCTTTGATATGGCAATTCTGTTGCGGGGGAATTAGCTTACATACATGAGTGATGATGTGTGAATATAAAGATCATTATTGAGGTTTCTGAAATGGCAAATAACCCTAAAGTCCATCAATGAGGAAACTGGTTAAATAAGTTGTGGTATATACACACAACAGTATTCTATTCTATTTTATTCTAGTGATAAAAAAATAAAAAAGAATGAGGAAACACCTTACATATGACCATGAAAGCTCTCCAAGACATATTGTTAAGCTAAAAAAGTGAGGTGTAGCGAGGGTGGATTACTTGCTACTTTTTGCATTATAAAGAAGGAAAAATGAAGAACACATATACATTTGAATTTTCTTATGTATGAAAAAAAAAAAAGCAACTGAAAAGACATAATAAGTGAACTCAGTTGCTATTTGAGGGCAAGTTAGGAAATGGGCAGATGGAGGATAGGTGTTAGAAGGAGACTTTTCACTGACAGATGACAACACACCAGCTAACAGGTAAATATTAGCTGTTAGTAAATAGAGAAGAGATTACTGCTTCGAAACAGATAAACGTTTTACGTGTTCTTCCCCCAGAACAATACTGTGGCCTCTAAAAAGTATGTCTTTACCTGTTTTTACAAGCAGTTCTAGAAGTTTTCTTTCTTTTTTTTTTTTTAATATATTTTATTGATTTTTCACAGAGAGGAAGAGAGAGGGATAGAAAGTTAGAAACATCGATGAGAGAGAATCATCGATCAGCTGCCTCTTGCACACCCCCTACTGGGGATGCGCCCGCAATCAAGGTACATGCCCTTGACCGGAATTGAACCCGGGACCTTTCAGTCCGCAGGCTGACGCTCTATCCACTGAGCCAAACCGGTCCCGGCTAGAAGTTTTCTAATCTATGACTAGGCCTCCTCCACAGACACAGCTCCTTGTCACAGATTTCCTCTCGCCTACCGTGCAACACGTGACAGACCCAAGTGACAGGCAAGGCTGTGGGCTGGCAAGTACTCTTTCTGCTTGAAGAATCTTAGGAAGCCTTCTTTAAATTCTGAATCTGTGGACTTAATGATCACAATAATGATACCTTTTTTGAATAATGTTTTTGTTTACTTGATTGTGGATTGTTTTTAAAATATATATATTTTAATTCAGTATGATTTTACTTTTGTTTCTAGTGTACAGCATAGTGCTTTGACATTTAAATAATTCTCAAAGTGATCTCCCAATATTTAATGATAATTTTAGAAACAATTTGAACCATGTGACTATTACTTAGTAAAAACTTTTTTAAAAATTGTGATAAGACCTGTCACCAGGAAAATAGCAACCCTGAATCCAGCTCCAGTTACTGTCTAGAAATATATTTTCTCTTCTTTATTAAAGCTTGAAGGAAGAACTTTTGGGTTACGGTATATAGTGATAGGCAAATTAGCACCTTGCTACTATCAATATTTTATTCTTTGTGTAATACGCTATTTTAGCTTTCTTAAAATACTGATTTTTAAAGAGCTAGGAAAAAAGAGGGAGAAAGAGAAACATCGATATAAGAGCAGAACATCGATCGGCTACCTCCTGCAGGCCCTGCATAGAGGATCAAGCCTGCATCCTTGGCATGCACTCTGACTGGGAATCAAACCAGCAACCTTTTGGTGCATGGGATGACACCCAACCAACTGGGCCACACCAGCCAAGGCTATCTTATCTTTTAATAATCATTTATGTCAGTAAGTCACCCAAAATTATCCAGAATCATTTAACCCCTGAAGAGGGTTAAGATCTCCCTTGGAATAGTATTCTAGCATGATGCTGAGAACCATGGTCTTTGCACACAAAGTGAGCCCTGACTATGACAGGACTGGCTCGGGATTCCCCCCAGTCTGTATGAGCCTTAGAGAGAATCACAAAGTGAAATTCGCTTCTCTAAATATCTAACACTGGAGGCCCAGTGCACGGAATTTATGCTCTTGGGGGCGGGGTTTCCTCAGCCCAATCTGTACCTCTCACAGTCTGGGAGCTCTCAGGGGATATTCAACTGATGGCTTAGGCCTGCTCCCAAGGGGAGCCTAAGCCGTCAGTCAGACATCTTCAGCTCTGCCGCAGAGACAGGAGAGGCTCCCACAGTGACAGGAGGTGTCCCGGCTTCTGGCTCGGCTGCACTCTCCCTATGGGAGTGCACTGACCACCAAAGGGAAGCTCCTGTGTTGAGTGTCTGCCCCCTGGTGGTCAGTGTGCATCATAGTGACCGGTCATTTTGCTGTTTAGTCAATTTGCATATTACCCTTTTATTATATAAGATTTAACAACTAGCAAATCAATCTAATATACATATTCTGTCAGATAAAGTTGGTTTACTGGTACCTACCAGAACATTTTTTAAATAATAAATATCTTAAATTCTTGCTGAGATAGTATTTCCTAGGGATGCCTAGTACACAACATGCCCAACCATACTGGGAAGCCCTGAATAGCTTGTGTCAAGTGGTCAGCATCCCCCAAGCAGCAGCACAGTCCCTAACAGGCCACAGTTTCATGATTGCAGTTCAGGTTGGCTTGCCACACTTTTCAGAGTTGGCTTTAATGAGACAATTCTACCCAAGTAGCTTCAGATAATTTATTACCTACACATAATGTGAGGTCAGCACTGAGTCAGTTCCCCATGCTTTTAGTCCCACAGGATGAGGCCACACCAGGGGGACCACGTGACACTGAGGCGATAACTCCAAACTGAAGCCAAGCAGCTCTGTAGCTTGCAGCCGTAACCTTCAGGGACTGAGAGTCCTGTGCTTCATTGAGATAAAGAAAGGTAATGTGGCTATCTCAAGAGGGTGGGTGATGGCCTCGTGGTAGTTCTTCATAAGCCAGCTTATCTTCCTTAGTTCCCGAAGGAAACATAGGGCTTTCAACCATAACTTGGGCCAGACTGCAGTTAAGCTTTGCCTAGTGGCCTGGGTGAAGATGTGCATGTCACCAGGGTGCCAGGGTGGAGCTGTTCCCTACATTGATGAAATACGGCAGAGTTTAGAAATTTTTCATAGCACAGTGGACAAGAAAAACAAGGAGAGAGGAGGTAAAGAGCCTAAAAGAAACAGAACTTATTGACACATTGATTTCAAGAGTCAGGAATTGATTCTGAGGAGCATTTGTGCAATTGGTTGCAAGAAGGCTCCAGCTCTCTGCATTGCTCACTGGTGGGGGTCAGGGAAAAGGTGGCCTTGGCTGAGGAGGGAAGAGAAGGCAGACACCAAAACAACAGCCCAACACAGCCCCTCTGCTTGTTCCTTAAAGGTCTTCCACTTCAGCACGATGGTACTGCCCCCCAAAATGAGGCCCCTGCTGTTATTCCTGATGTCCCAGATGGCCATCTTCATTCTATACATCCATTTGTACAACCACAACTTCAACTCCCTGTCCACGAGGGAGGAGCCCAAGCCCATGCATGTGCTGGTCCTGACTTCCTGGCGCTCTGGCTCTTCTTTTGTGGGGCAGCTTTTTGGACAGCACCCGGATGTCTTCTACCTGATGGAGCCTGCCTGGCACGTCTGGATGACCTTCACACAAAGCACCTCCAGGAACCTGCATATGGCGGTGCGGGATCTGATACGGTCCATCTTTCTGTGTGACATGAGCGTCTTTGATGCCTACATGAAACCTGGTCCCCGAATACAGTCCAGCCTCTTCCAGTGGGAAACCAGCCGGGCTCTGTGTTCCCCGCCTGCCTGCGACGCCTTCCCAAGGGATGCCATCATATCAGAGGCTCAGTGCAAGATCCTATGCAGCAAACAGCCCTTTGAGATGGTGGAGAAGGCCTGCCGCAACTACAGCCATGTGGTGCTCAAGGAGGTGCGCTTCTTCAACCTGCAGGTGCTCCACCCGCTGCTGAGGGACCCTTCCCTCAATCTGCACATCGTGCACCTGGTTCGGGACCCCCGGGCGGTGTTCCGTTCCAGAGGACGCACAACAGCAGAACTCATGATTGACAGCCAAATTGTGATGGGACAGGAGCAGCAGAACCTCAAAGAGGAGGACAAACCCTACTATGTGATGCAGGTTATCTGTCAAAGCCAGATGGAGATCTATAAGGCCGTGCAGACCTTGCCCAAAGCACTCAAGCAGCGCTACCTGCTCGTGCGCTATGAGGACCTGGTCCAGAACCCCCGGGCCCAGACTGCCCGGATGTATAAACATGCAGGGTTGAAATTCTTGCCACACCTCCAGGCCTGGGTACACAACATCACTCGAGGCAAGGGCACGGGTAGCCACTCCTTCAAAACAGATTCCAGGGATGCCCTCAGTACCTCCCAGGCCTGGCGCCAGTCCTTGCCTTATGAAAAGGTTTCTCGACTTCAGACAGTCTGCGGTGATACCATGAACTTGCTGGGCTACCGCCAGGTCAGATCTGAGCAAGAGCAGAGAAACCTGTCGCTGGGTCTTCTGTCTACCCTCACCCCTTGAGGAGACTCCGTCCCCATTGGCACCAGCCTCAGCTACATTATCTGAAGGCTGCTTATGTCTGAAATTTGCTTATGTCTGCTGGTGTACACGTGAGCTCAAGCTGTGCCCACACATGCTCAAGCCAAGAAAGCTTTATAGCTCTACTCAGGTCTAGAAAAGAGACTCAATAACTGTGTGTTTGGCACATTCCACCACTGGAGAAGGAATACTGCCATCTCTCCTTAGCTTTCCTATCTGTGTATACCTCAGAGACTTCTTAGCTGGGGTCCTATTTGATACCATACAGTATCAGTGGAGTAAGTCCATTAACTTCTCTGTCCATATCTTGCCCAATGGGAAAGGACAGGAAATGGGTCTTCCAGTAAAGAGCCCATCAGTCCATTCCACAGTGATGTGAACTCAGAGTTCCCAGTAGATTAAAAAAGAGGGTGAGGAACAGGATTGGACACTTACCCATGAGGTTGGACAACAGTTATCCGTTATCACAAATATGAAACAAAATCTCTGCACAACAGAGCAAGCTCTTAAGTTTAAGGGGTGGCTGGGCCTGATTTTCATGTCATTTCTCCTCGGTGTTTTCCTAATACATGGAAGATTTCCAACTGGGAAGCTACCATCTGTTAACATTGAAATTCCAAAATAAGACTTTGTTTGGAATGTCCTCTTTTACGTTTTCTAATTTTCTTAACAGTAAATACTCAGAGTATCCCAACCTAAGAGCATAGATATTTTTCTCTCTCGTTATTATCTACTAGAGGCCCGGTGCACAACATCACTGCACTGAGGGGAGGAGGTCTCTCAGCCTGGCCTGTGCCCTCTCACAGTCCAGGACCCCTTGGACGATGTCCACCTTCCTGCTAAGCTGGCTGTTGGACATTCCCCAAGGGGTCCTTAGCATTGCTGCGGAGGTAGGAGAGGATCCCGCCACTGCCACTGGGCTCCCCAGCCTTGGCTGAGCACTGCTCCCCCTGTGGGAGCACACTGACCACCAGGGGGCAGCTCTTGCATTGAGTATCTGCCCCCTGGTGGTCAGTGTGCATCATAGCAACTGGTCGTTCCACTGTTCAGTCGATTTGCATATTAGCCTTTCATTATATAGGATCATCCACACATAGAAAAGTTACCAAGATGTCCAGTGTCAGATTACAAAGTCTAAACTGATCGTTACTAATTGATACATTGCCCTCTTAAGAACTTGTAGAAAGTAGATAACCAGCAACCACGCCCTTTCGTTCTTGTGTGAGGCATAAGTTGTAATGATACCATATGCATCACTCTAGAGTCTGGGCAATGAATTTTTTTAATCTGATCCCTCAGCCAGAGGACCTCAGTCCCAGTATGACTGGTGATACTGGGCCCTTCCTGGTCACCTCTCCTAACAGGAAAAGTTGTTTCTTTCAGTCTTTGCGACATTCCTCAGATCTAGCTGTGTATCAGAATCATCTGTTAAAAATGCATTTAACAGATTAAATTGGAATCTCCCAAGACAGGGGAGGGGATATATATAAATCAATTGACCAGGTGTCTCTCCCACGGCCAGCCTGACAACGGGCACCAGCACTGTTGGCCTTATTGCTCCAAGACAGGTGACTTTCCATGACATGTCAAAGGTCTATACCATTTACTCCTGATACTGCTGCTGTCCTCAGGTTGGAAGGTGTTGGAAGAAGGTCTAAATCTATCTGGAATTCCATGGACCTCTGAGTCCTAACTTTTAAAATATTTCATTTTGTCCAAACCTGAAAGGTAGCATCATTTCATCTTACGTTTCTACGTGCTTAAATAGCTACCTCTACCAGCTGGGTCTTTGAAGTTCATTTATTGTATATGGGGCTTTAAAGGAGTGAATTTATTCTAACATCCAAATCCAAGCCACTCTAGGCACACCTCAAGAACATAAGACAGGGTAGCTATAGCATAAAGCCATTCTATATAACCTCTTTAAAAATCGGACCCAGCCGAAACCGGTTTGGCTCAGTGGATAGAACGTCAGCCTGCGGACTGAAAGGTCCCAGGTTTGATACCGGTCAAGGGCATGTACCTTGGTTGCAGGCACATCCCCAGTAGGGGGTGTGCAAGAGGCAGCTGATCGATGATTCTCTCTCATCGAAGTTTCTAACTCTCTATTTCTCTCTCTTCCTCTCTGTAAAAAAAAAAATCAATAAAATATATTTTTTTTAAAATTGGACCCAGTGTTGAGCAAGATTTAGTGAGCACTTTGTCTCCTGTCCATGTGCTCAGATGGCTGGCACTGGAATTCAGTGAGGAAGGTGGCAGCACACCAACTGTGGATATGGGGAGTCTGGGGAGCTGAGAACCTGTAACGAGCCCAGAAGATGGTGTTTTGCTAAACATACTTTCTAATTTGGGGGCATCTGTTTGCCTCCTCAGCCTATGTAGCTGCATGGGATCTGAGGATGTTTAAACACAGATGAGGGGGGATTTTATATAAATTTCTCAGGCTAGTATGCAAGTTTGGGGAATGAGCTCTCTCGTGTCTAGATCAAACAAAATAGATTGAACCGTCTCATTTCAGGTCAGCAATTGATGTTTTTATGAAAACGATATTGGGCACCGACCCTAAGCCCTCCATTTTAGGAAAGAAGTCAAAACATTTTAGATAGTTTTTTGGATGGTGAGAAAAAGATCATTTTGAAATAAAGGAGCTTCGACTTACTGTCATTTAACTGTGTTACTAGATGGCTTCATTATCCATATAATGAGAACAATTGCTAAGAGTTTAGTAAATGTTAATTAAAACTATTCTTTTTAAGTTATGTATAGTAGTGATGGAAAGAAATGGGAAGGTGGAATCAACTTCTGATTATTTTTGTGCAAAAATCTTCCATTATATTGTCTATAACATGTTTCTCAAAAAGTAGTTTATAGTCCTGGCCGAGTGGCTCCATTAGTTGGAGCATTGTCCTATATACCAAAAGGTTTTAGACTTGATTCCTGGTCAATACCTAGGTTGTTGGCTTGATCCCCAGTCGGGCACATGTGGGAGGCAATGTTTCTCACATCGGTGTTTCTCTCTTCCTCTCTCCCTCCCTCTTTCTAAAAGTCAATAAACATATCCTTAGGTGTGGATTTAAAAAAAAAATTATAATTTACTATGTCATTTAAACTAAATATAAATTAATATTACGGACTAATATATTATCGTGAGTTCTACTGAATTACTTTCACAGACCAGCAAAGCAAAATTTAAAATGAATATATGTGAGTGACAAAAGCCAAATAACAATATATCTCTGATACACATTAGCTTAGGATTCCCAATAACCTGTTGAGGGTTTTGTCCCTCTTCTGCACAAATGTTCCCGGTCATTAAGAGAAACGTTACTTTTTAAATGCAGTACTGAGCGGAAAGTACTGATAAATAACCAGAGTAAGGAGATTTGAATATAGCATTTCCGTTAAAGGGTGTCTTCCTTATGTGCTAGGTGCTATGTATACAGTAGCAAACCACAGGCAAAGCCCCTCCTTTCATGCAGCTTATATTTCAGTTGAAGAGTGGCAGAACAAGCAATAAGCATATGATTATATGTGTTACAAGGAATAACAGATTAAGATAAGGAGCTAGGGGTGAAGGAGAGTAATGTTATAAAGAGGGCGATAAAGAACATTATTACTGAGAAAGTGACATTTGAGCATGGACTCTTGTTCAGCAGACATCTGGAGCAAAGTGCCCCATTAAATGCCAATGTCAATATGGACAGAAACAATAGGGGTCTAGTGAGAACCTGCCATGTGCTCGGTACTATGCTGAATTTGTACAGAACAAGAAGTTCAGATGTTACAGGAAGGACAGTATGACAGACGGGGTATGAGCTCATGAGCAGATGGGCTCTGGAAGTACACTGCCTAGGTGACTCTTGTTATCAGCTGGGGGAGCTCAGGCAAGTCCCTTCACATCTCCATGTCGCAGATCCTTCAGCTGTAGGGTGGGTACAATAGTGGCAGCACAGAGCGCACTTAGCAAGTGTCTGGCACACACGCAGGCGCTCACTAAATGCCAGCTGTGAATATCATGCTAACACCTGGTCTTGCCTCTCAAGGACTGTCTTGCATCATTTCTGGAACATCCTCATTAAGGTGATGCTGAACAGTAGATCACCCTTTATGGCATTGCTGATCATATTGATAGTGATTAGGAGATCGAAAACAACTTCCTGATCTTCTATTAGGTCTAGTAATAATTAATGTCGTTTTCTAATACTTTTTTAAATCGAATTTATTTAAACAATACAACAAAATTTAATCAACAATATAGTTGTCGTTGTTTTCTACTACTTGTGCCCAATGCTCAGGAAGCATTTTAATCCCTCTGTTGTAAAATTCTTGTGATTTTGATGCAAAAAATTCGGTCAATGCATTTTTGAGGCATTCTTCATTATTAAATTTTTTTCCAAGAAGAAAGTTTTGCAAAGAACGAAACAAATGGTAATCGGAAGGGGCAATATCAGGAGAATATGCAGGTTGAGGGAGAACTTCCCATTCCAACTGGCGCAGTTTTTCAGCAGTGATTCTTGCGGTATGCGGTCCTGCGTTATCGTGGTGAAGAATTACGCCCTTCCGATTAATCAGCGTGGGTTCTTTTTCTCTTAAAGCTTGGGCTAACCTTTCCAATTGGGCACTATACACTGCACTTGTAATGGTTTGGGTAGATGGTAAAAGTTCATAATGAAGAATTCCTTTAAAATTCCACCAAACACACAACATCACTTTTTTCGCATGCAAGTCAGGTTTTGGCATGGGCTGCAGAGCCTCATTTTTGTCCAACCATTGAGGCCGCCTTTTCAAATTAACATACAGCACCCATTCTTCATCTCCGGTAACAATTTGCTCTAAAAACGGCAAACCGTTTTGACGAGAGAGGAGCGAACTGCAAATTGTGACTCTTTGATTACGGTTGTTGTCGGTCAACTCATGAGGAACCCATTTTCCAAACTTTTGGACTTTGCCAAGTGGACGCAATTGATTGGAAATTGTTTTTTGTGAACAATTTAAAGTTGTCGCAAGCTCTTATTGGGTAATTTGAGGATTTTGCACCAAAAGAGCTTGAAGAGCTTCTTAATCAAAATTGGACACACGGCCTCGACCACTCTTGTCATCTAACGAAAAATTTCCCTCGCGAAATTTTTCAAACCAACGCTGGCATTTTCTGGCACTAACTGCATCTTGACCAAGAGCACTACAGATGTTTTTTGCAGCCTCACTTGCTTTTCTTCCTAATTGGAACTCGTAAAGCATGCAGTGCCGAATATGCTCTTCATCCGCCATCTTCTTAGCGCTAGTTTTGCAACAAAAACCAAACCAAACACAAACTTTTTCAAGCAAAACTTGTTAATTGCACTTCACACGTTCTGTAGATACCACGTGTTTGAAGGTTATGTCAATACAAGTCAACGCCAAGCAAGATTTTAAACGAATGTTAAAAAACGACATTAATTATTACTCTATACTGGATCCAGAGTTGTGTTGGTTGAGGAGGAAACAAAACTAACAGGAGGCAATCCCTTCCTCACACCCACGCCCGCCCCAAAGGACATTTGGCAATGTCTGGAGACATTTTTGGTTGTCACAACTTGGGGCTGGGGTAGCAGTGTTCCTGGCATCTAGTGAGGAGGA